GCGGAGTGTGTGTGTGTCGGGCGCCAAATCCGCCCCGCAGCTCAGCGCCTGGGGGGAAAGCGGGTAGCCGAGCCGCTCGACGCCGCTGCTGCCCAGAGTGAGGGAGGAGGTCAGCCGGTGGTTTGTCTGTCCAGTTGCCAGGCTTTGGGTTTTCCGGCCAAGCGAGGAGAAAGGCTGGCGAAAGGCTGAATGTAAGCAGAAACTTCGGAGTTTCTACTTGGGAAGCCAGGGCTCTGTCTCCTGCAGCCCTGTCCCTCCATGCTGTTAGCTTTCCAGTCAGGCTGGAAAGCAAGCAGCAGAGAGAAAGGGGAGCAGGAGACAGGATTGGTGGCTGAGAAACAATGTCAAACATCTCACTAACTTCATTTCCAAATAAATGTAATATGTTAACTATGTTTTCTATGGGTTTTTTTGGGGGGGAGGGGATGATCAGGTATTGTTACTGTTATTTTATTTTATGTGCGGCCCAAACCAAATTTTCATCTTCTAATGTGGCCCAGGGAAGGTGAAAGGTTGGACACCCCTGATCAACAGCTTTCCAGAGGGGTTAGGGTTTTTGGGGACAGAGATAGAAGACCAATAAATTAAAATTTATACCTATTTGTCTAAAAAACTATAATTCAACAAACAAATTGGATGTTTTCTCAGTCATCACCACCACAATCACAACCAATGGTATTACACTTCTCCCTTCAACAATGCTGGGCTTAAGGAAGCCAGACTCCAATGTAGTTCAAAATCCATGTCTCTCTCTTATGCCCCCTAAATCATAACTACGAAGCATAAACAGATGATTAAACTGAATGAGAACTGTTCTCTGTCAGGTTCTCTTCCATAGCACTAACAATCCTTTACACACAGTACCATGCATAATAGTACCTGAAGCTGAGGCTCCAATACTTTGGCCATCTCATGAGAAGAGAGGACTCCCTGGAAAAGACCCTGATGCTGGGAAAGTGTGAAGGCAAGAGGAGAAGGGGATGACAGAGGACAAGATGGATGGACAGTGTCATCGAAGCTACCAACATGAATTTGACCTAACTCCGGAAGGCAGTGGAAGACAGGAGGGCCTGGCGTGCTCTGGTCCATGGGGTCACGAAGAGTCGGACACAACGACTAAACAACAACAACCATGCATAATGAGCCTTAAAGGCCCTTGTAACTCCCTAATCTAGATGCTGAATCAGTGATGTGTTTGGGGGCAATTAGATCACTTCAATGCTCTCGGTGTTGAACTCATGCCCCTGGTTCTGAGTGACCAAAAACACAGTGTTTGCTGAATATTTATTTTTGAAATATTTAATTATTTTAAAATGTGTGTAACCAAAACCATATTGCTCAGTCTTGTGCAATTCAAGGAAGTGTACATTAATCTCTAGGTTAGAGTATTTCAGTGCAAGGAGGTACCTTTGAAGACAAATTGGAAAATACAACTAATATACAATGCAACATTGATACTGATCATAGACACCAGGAGATCTGATGATATAAAAACTATTCTGGCATAGTCATATTAACTGCCAATACATTTCCATGTCAAATTCAGGGTGTTGGGTTTAAACCATAGAGACTTACGAATAAGAATTGAGAGAATACCTCTCCTGTCATGAACCTAGCTACACCCAGAAATAACAATCTGAGGCCCTTCTGGAAATATAGTCCCTGAAAAGAGTGACACTTATGTACTATTAGCAATTTGATGGGATATGGCTGCCTTAAATTATTGGCCTTAGGCCAAATGTTTATTGCTTGTTGCAAGTGTTTCAATGCATGATGGACAATAGAAATGATTCAAGAACACATTGAAGACAATATTGAAACTATGTAATAGTAACCATGTAAATTGGGGAGGTCTCACCTAAAACTGAAGGGCTTTGCAAAACAGTTAAAGGGCTACAGAATATGAAATAGAAAAATCAAGGACGCACAAAGGAAAAGTGAGAAAGCAAGGATGTTACATTTCAACAACCCAACAAACCCAGAACTAACTAACCTGTCCCCACTGCTTCTGTATCTTCCAGGTTTGTATTGGACTAATCAGTCATTTGCACATCCATTGACATGTCACTGCTCACCTTTAATTGCTCACTTCTTGTTTTTTCACCTAAATCGCGCATCTGAGTTTGATGGAGATGTCCTTCTCCAAAAAAAGGACAAACTATTATTATTCCTATAATTTGTTCCTGAGATGAGCAAATTTATATTAACATTAATATTAAGGGGTTTTGTATTTTATCTGTAAGATGCTCAGAATCTTTATTGTTGTTAAAATAAGGCAACAAACAAATTGCATTATTATTTGTTAAGACAAACCATGTTCCCAAACCATACTTTCACTTGTGGCATAAACATCATCAAAAAAAGTTCAAAAATATATTAAACTTTATTATAAACCATGGAGGAGTCTCAAATCAGTTCCGTCACTTAATTAGCAGTTGTTCAGTTAAAATGTAGAGATCAGAATCCTGCTGCCAATCCCAAGAAGAACCACTGAATAAATTATTGAATGGCAAGTCAACACTGATGTAAATCACATGAATTTAGTGGATCTACTCTATCTGGATGCTCAGTGGGCAGAGTGATGGACTGCGAGATATTTGTTTGAATCCCCACTCAGTCATGGAAATTCACTGGGGAGGGGAGTAGAACTGGTAGAACCATTCAGATCTTACTTACCTTGAAAGCCCTATCAGGGTCTCTGCAAGTCAGTTCCAACGTGATGGCATATACACCCACAACACTACTCTAGTTGAGACAAGCAATACGATTCTGACTGTCATTGTTAGCAAAATTTATGTTCCTCCAAATAGACTACATTTTAAAAAATGTAACAACTGATTTATCTCTTAGATAAATTTATGTCATATTGAGGAACCACACTAAACAATGACTGTGGCATGAGTGTATGGCTCTAATGTGGCAGGAAGATGTCATGCTTTATGTGCCCCAGACAATGAGGTACACAGTGTAAAGTGTTTTGTTTTTGTTGTTGAAACTACAGTATACAGGATGTTTCAAGATAGGGTATGAAAATTCCATTTCCACTATCAAATGTGGAAACCCAACCAAACATTTCAATAAAACTGAAAGCTTGCATATTCTTAAAGAGAGGAGCTAATTCAAAGAAATGTTATCATTTTACATATTTTGTATGCCTCAACTCCCAAGAATTCATTATAGTTTACCATTTGAATGGTAGGTGGATTATATGAATAATGCCTGGTCCCTCATCTTACACACAGAGTAAAGACCACTGAAATATAATTCTCAGTTGCAGAAGAATTCTCTTTCCTGGCTATCAGTTTGCATTCACTTCTGAATAGTAGTATTTCTGTAGAAAAAGTGTGCAGAGGTATAGATTCCATCCTTTATAATCATTTGTAAGTACTGTATCTTTGAAAAACGTGCTTATACTACATAACATAAACCTAACCCATCACAGTTCTCCACTAAAAAAATATTTACCCAGCTATGTTGAGATGTTAGAAAGAACTCTTACCACATAAATAATCTAACACCATCATAACACCATGTGGTACTTTTATATCAAGCAGCAGGGTAAACCAAGGACAGGACAAGGGATTAAAGGATGCCCTCTTAAACTACCACTGTTTTAAGTATTAACTACCACTTCTCAGGAAGACATTCACAACAATTAAACTGCAATATGATTTCCGACACATTAAGAGAGTACATCCATGGCAGAAAATAATGACATCGAGGACATGTCTATGTCACCAGCTTACAGGCAGCAAATAACTTTCACATACCATATGTTCCACATAAACACAAACACAGCATGATACTCCAGCATGCCTCAGCCCATCGGAAATCCCCATAACAATTTTAAATGCCAGGAGTCACCTTTGATATTGTAGTGCGGAGTAAACACATACCACTGACAGAGATTTAATGCTATTAGTACTACTAATATGGAGCCTGGGATGAAGAGTTGAAACAAGGGCCTTCTTAAGGACAAACTATTAGCCTGAACGTGCAGTGCCACCATAAGGCATTATCCATACACAACTTCCAAAACTAAAGATACACACAGGAACTTCCACAGCAACAACTGTGGGGTGGGTGGAAAAAGAGAAAATCCTTGGGAATAGTCAAAAATCATACGGAAACAGTACTGAAAGCTGCTGAAACTGGCCTGTAAAACGAGGAGGGGGGGGGGGAAATGTACACATACACACCCCAGAGAGAGGGGGTTCAATGGAGCAGTGTCACAGGAGGGGGGAGAGCAGGCAGAGAAAGCCAGGAGAAAGCCTGCAGCCCCCCCCCCCAATTCTCCTATCGGATGATCAATGGGACAAAGGGAAAGGGGGGCAGAAAAAGGAAGGGCGGGGAGGTGACTCTCTCTCTCTCAAGGCTTTTCAGGAGATAGAGAGGACCTGAGGCCACTCGCTTTCAAGAATATAAACAAGACTATTTCAATGGGGTGGCGTAGGGGGGGGGAACCGTACTCATTGTGGCCTCCTCGTTATGGAGTTCGTAAACAGGGAGGGCTGGGAAAGGAAGGGAGGGTGTACATATTCTTTTCTTTTGCTCCTCACACCACGTCCAGGTCGGAATGTTTCTGGAGCGGGAACAAACCCAACTCGAAAATGAGGGAAAGGGAGGCACGGCGGTTGCAAACTTTCTCTGCTGCGTTCCCTTCCTTACCCTCTTTTCTTCTCCCTTTTAATTTCCTCCCCCCCCTTTCAAAAACAGTCCAACTCCCGGCAAAGTCCGGGGCGGGCGGGCGAGCTGGGCAGGCAGGAAGCGGGAGACAAGCAAGCAGCCAGGGATGGGGCGGCCATTAACGCTGCTCCAATCCAAGCCGTCCCTCACGCACGGCGGCAACCGCCCCTGTTGAATTCGGTCGCTTCGCCCATAAACACACGGCTGAGGCGCCGACCCCGCTCCTCACTACGGGCTCCGGAGCCGCCCTGCTCCGCTGGGATTTCTTTTTTTCTTCTTTTTCTTTTTCTTCCTCTTTCTCCTCACAAACCTACCTGGCTGCTGCTGCTGCAGCTCCTCCTGGGGACTTCGGGCGGCCGAGGGTCTCCATCTCTCCCCGGTGGCCCCGCTGCCCAACGGGTCGCCATTATTTCATGTCCCAGTTACAAAAGAACAAATCCTCTGGAGCCCACATTGGGGGGGACAGCACGCGAGCGCACCAAAAATAAGAAAACACAGCCAAAAAAAAAGTATATACCAGGAAAGAAAAAAGAAAGACCAGGGGAAAGAGGAGACAGCTTTCCAGAAAAGCTAATTTAAAAAGAAAGCTCTTTTCCCCTTAAAAAAAACCCAAAAAGAAAAACTATATATCCTCCATTCAGGAAAGAGAAACGTGTACACAGATGGTAGCCAAAGCCCGTCTCCTACAATGGTTTTTTTTGTATGTGTGTTTTTCCAGGGAGGGAAGGGATTCCTCCCAGTGCTCAAGAAGCTGCCATGAGGGGGTGGGTGAGGGGGGAAAAGACGAGATGATCCCGCCGGACTTTTTCAGGGAGATTCAGAAGCGTCTCCCTCCATCGCCTCAACGAGGAGAGAAAGAGGAATGTGTCAGCGGCCCGGGGAGGAGAAACCGCCGCCGCCGCCGCGCCTCCTCCTCCTCCTGCCGCCGCCACCACCCGTCTCTTGTTAGGCTAATTGCACTGGCTCGTCATCTTCCTCTTCCTCTTCTCCCAAGCCCGAGACTCAGGGAGAAGGGAAGCGCCGGCCACCACCTCCTCCTCAGTCACACTCGTGTCACAGGAAAACCAGGCGAGGGGAAAGTTAGCCGGAGAGGAAAGGGAAGCAGGCAATTTAAAAACCGAAAACTCTCCGCTCCCTTTCGCCGAGATTTTCTGTTCAGACACCGGAAGAGAGGCAGGCTCTAGTCCAGGTTGGTCGAGGGGACCGGAATCTCACCGGATGATCCCTTAGGGCAGACTCAGGAATTTGCAAACTTTTTTTTCCTGCCCGGTCCTACGACGCATGTGACGCGGAAGTCTGCGGGGAAGGCGGTTTTGTTTTTTTTTT